AGAGAGAGAGAGAGAGAGAGAGAGAGAGAGAGAGAGCCTAAGAGCATTCGGTATTAAACACCATGCATTCTTCGTTAATACAAGTTTCCAAGCATGCAAGCCTTCTATATAAAAAAAATTCTGTTGTTTATATTAACAGGGCTATACAATTCGGAACGTTTTAGACTACTATCGTACTGTTTTACTTCATGATAAAACAGTGACTGTATTACATGATATAGGTTATACTACATAATGGCTAAACCGTCACTTGTTTATATTGGTGACGTGCGGGCTGATTCCCAAAATTTAATTCTATTACCTGACTTTTGCCAAGAAAGACTAGCGCCGCCTTGTTTAAAAATTGCTGCTTAACATCCAATGAAAACCTATGACAATTCTGCTAACATTGTCGGTTTAAAGAAAAAGTACCGACTTAGCCTGATCTACAGAAAGGGGTCACTTCTCAGGTGCAGATCAGGCTGATCCGACGTCATCAGGCAAGCAGGTCCGTTTTTAGAATGACACAATAGCACAAAGTCGATTATAGTTTTTTTCAACGACCCCTACCCAGTTTGTTGATAGCACTAATAATGATTTTTATAATTATTATTGCGATAAGAACTACTTATAGAAATAAGTAGTTCTTATCGCAATGAACTTGTACGCTTCATAATCATTGTTAACTGCTCTCTCTAAGTAAGCGAGTGGCTGCTGAACAAACACAGCCTTCGGGCGAAATAGCCTGAAATATTACGTCCGCCTTCCAAAAAGAGTGCGTACATTCTACCCATAATCAACAATAAACACTATACGGACATGTAAGGAATGACAGAAAAAATGGAGGTAACCATTCTTCGAATCTCTACGCTGAGTAGCACTCTTTTCTCATAGTTACTGCTGCTACTATCTGGTGCTATTCTTAGCTTGGCCACTCTCACGCGGTAGTCACGTTAGGATCCAATATGGTCTTGTATACGCTGTTCCATTTTACCTACTACCGTCTGTTCACGCGCTCGCCCATTACTTATCTTCTCTGAGCTTTCGCTGCTATTCGGTGGCGAAAAAGCAGCCGCTGTTATGGCGTCACTTCGCTCACCAGTGTATTGCCACAGACTACTTGTAAAACGACCAGTACAGCAACAAAACGCCGATGGAATCATGACGGGACGAACAAATGGTCGCATCCAAAATCGACGATGTGTCGGAGACGCCGGCGAACCACTGGCATGACGATAGAGCAGTTTGCCATGCGCGTTGTTTTTGCCAGCAATTGAACTGGACTGGACTGTCCGACTAGGCAGGTAGTTGCTGTCTGACTATACTATATTTGCCCGGCAGTAAATGGGAACCTTCCGGAGACTCCACTTAAATGCTACGCAAGTTTCGGTGCTATTGCTAGGCGGTAACATGAAATAGTGTGATTAACACCGGTTTTGAATTTAGAACAATTGTTTCAACTTTCGAAATTTGACAAGTAGACCACTGCACCAGCATGAGGCGAAACATCGTAACCTACGGCGATGCTAGCTAGGTGTCTTTAGTTTGATAGGTACAGCTCTGTCGTAACAAATGACACTACCTATGGTACCCAGTTAAGTCGACCCGAGGTTCTAGAATGGAGACATTGGGATTTCGGCCGATCAACAATAAACTAGCTGAAGGATTTTTCATACGCAAGACAACATTTTTATACCGTAACGAAAGTTTATTAATAAACATATATATATATATATATATATATATATATATATATATGTTTATTAATAAACTTTCGTTACGGTATAAAAATGTTGTCTTGCGTATGAAAAATCCTTCAGCTAGTTTATTGTTGACTCCTATTGCTGCCTTTGTATAAACGGAAACCTACTGGCAGATCTGTTCCCCTACTACCTACAACTGTCGCAACTGAATGGCGGAATAGTGTGGGCATAAGTTACCGTCGTTCCGCTACGTGTACGTGAATGGATGTATTCGGACTGAATCTTCGTTTTTGTTTTTTCAATATCGACCAGAGTATATATATGACTCTGGCATGAATGCATGACTATATTAGAAAAATAGTTCTTTTCTTGCTGAAATCGTTTTATCTTCTTGGGTGGTTCTTGTCTAAACGAACAACATTGACACGGGCTGGAGTTGATCTGACGGGTGCAGCAGCCTTTACCCAACGAAGCATGGTTGCAACTGTCTATACGACAAGCCATCAGTGAAGGGAAATGGCCACGGTGTCAGCTCCCGTTCGAATTTCCGTCTTCAGCCATCGTGAGGAGAGATAGCTGATTCCGGATCGTCACGAAACGAACCTACGTTGATTACTACGCGAGGTACGTTAAAACATAATGAAAAATTAGGCGATAGCCACATTGCTGCTGCTGTTCTAAAGACGTTTTTACAATGCTAGCCGCAGCGTCTAGATGCTTCCTAGGTAATTCAGTGTACCCAACCAGGATCCAGTTTTTTTTCATTTCAGTGAACAAGTTCGTGGAGCACTGATAGCGTCTTTTTACTATATTGGAAAATATGCGTGACTATTAACGTAACAACAGCACCGGAGGACGAATACATATGGAATAATCGTGTGTCCGACGTGAACAGCTGTACGCACAAGTGCCACTATGAACTATCCATCCGCCTGTAAAGCTACTGCAGAACTTCGATCCATGAGATATTACCATTCCGTTAATAGCCAATGGGATTAAACGTCTCGATGGCCATCCTTTACCACACAAACTGTGATGTTCAGATTTGGTGATAGATTCGTTTATCAAATTGCGATACGAATAACCAACTATCTGCTGCCAGAGTTTGTGTCTGCATCTATGTGCAAATATCGTTATTGCATGTGCATGTAAACCGAGGTTGTATACACTGACAAATTAGACGTAGACAATAGCAGAAGTGGTAGTAGCAGCAGTACGAGATGCTACAAGCGTCGCAATGAGGCAGAGCCGGCTGGTTTTTCACTTGGAGTAATGGTCAAGGCCAGCTTAAACAAACAAGGAAAGAAAGCGCCTGTAGTTTATAGGTCCAGTAGTATTGATTGCCAACGAAACGAACCATATGCCCATGTTTATACACTAGTAAATTGTGAACATTAGAAGCTACGGATTTGTAATGGCCTATTTTTTTTGAATCGAATACAGTAATAGTCGTTGCCCGTTCCGCATATAAGCTCCACTTGTGACATGCCACTCAGCGAATCTGACGGCTTTGCGTAGTTATTAACAATGATACTGCTAGGTTTAAATAGTTATCTCAATATTGTATTTATCTGCGACTAAAATATTTTCAGATATAATCACCACACGGGTATGACAAATGTTATAACAATATTGATATTGTTATAACATTTGTCATACCCATGTGCTGATTATTTTAATATATATATATATATATATTTCGGCCGATC